ACTTCTGTCTAGGAGACGGGTACTCCGGCTAGTCTATCAATAAATCAAGAGACGGTGTTAAATTAAAACACACTCGCACTAGACAAAAGTGGTTTTTAGTTTTTCTAATCCTTAGGATATATACCTTAGACTTCAGTTTTGCTTAATATTTTATATATTGTTGCATGAAATATAATCTTGTTTTAAGAAAACAAATTTCTAATAATTAGCTTATTTCTTTCCGTTTCAGTTTAGGTAATTAACAATTATCATTAAAAAAGATTATTAAAATGCTCCAAGCAACATCTTTCTGACCTTCTGAAGTAATGTTTCGTCTTGAACGTTTGCACTCCCCGCCTGAGCTAATGTTTCGTTTTATACTTCCTGTATACAATGAGGTATTTACAGGTATATAAATGAACTAGGTTAAAAAACAAAAGAGCTTTTTCTTAATAACATCAAATGCGCGTTTAGAACGTTTTCGAGACAAACAGATAGTGTTAATGAAGTAAATATGTAATGTATACGAAAACTTTGCATAATTATTGAGATTATTAAAGTACCATAAAGTCAAAAATATGTTGATTGAAAAAAGCTTTATGTATTACGACCGCAGAAATGAATTCACACGAGACATTGTTTTTTTTTTTCAACCCATGCTGCAAACTATTTACTAAAGTGAGATTATTACAAAACACGTGCTTTTTAACACAGTCAGTAACACTAACCCTTAGAGACAGTAAGATTTCCATCTTGTAAACAGCGTCCTTTTCTTACTATTGTATAAATGTGTTAGAAACAGTTGATACGTATATTGCCGGCCCGGCATGGCCAGGTGGTTAGGGCGCTCGACTCGCAATCTGAGGGTCGCGGGTTCGAATCCCCGTCACACGAAACATGCGTGCCCTTTCAACCGTGGGGGCGTTATAATGTGACGGTCAATCCGACTATGTGTTAGTAAAAGAGTAGCCCATAAGTTGGCGGTGGGTGGTGATGAACAGCTGCCTTCCCACTGCTAAATTAGGGACGGCTAGCGCAGATAGCCCTCGTGTAGCTTTTTGCGAAATTCAAAACAAACAAACAAACGTATATTGCTACAACTTATTTAAAAAGAATCAAATACTACATTTCAAAAATAATCGTATTAAGTTGTCAAGTACCCAATACGTATTAAGGGTGACTAAAAACCACAATTAAAATCTCAAGAATAACATAATGCAGGAAATGTGAATGAATGGATGCCTTTGTATGATCTGTATTTAAATCTGTGCGTACATCACTGTAAAATTTTGTTAAATCGTTTAATTTGACAGTAAATGAATATTGAGTTTGTATTTTTGTTGTGAACTAAACATATTGGTGTATTTTTGACAGTAGAGAGAAAGTCTAGAGAGGAACTGATCACCAGCATGAAGCAGAAGGCTATGGACTTTGAGAGGCTGTGTGCTCAGCACTTACACGTAAAAGAAACATGAACACATTTTACTGTCAGGTTCAGGAGGTAAACGTGTTTTCGACACTCTGTTGAGCACTACTCATGTATACGTTTAAAGGTGTAACTCGTTCGTCAGTTATACCTTTTTTGCAAATTTATTCACATCGTTTTTGAACAGATAAAATGGATTCTGAGTAATAAAAATAATAACTTGATTCGTAACTTAATCTAAAGATACAATTCGAAAAAGTGGCGAAATTACATGAGAAGAAACGGTTTATTTAGGAATTGTTAGATAAGATTAATCTATGGGATCTGCTCAAGAACCCATATAATTCATTAACATTTTGTGATTACACTTTATTTCGCAAGTTTGTTTGCAAATAACAAATAACTTTATCTTATTGTTCAATAAGAAAGGTATCTACCAACCACCATGCAGTCAAAACTCTCTAATGCTACTACAACCACCATGAAGTCAAAAGTATCTAATGTTATTACAACCACCATGCAGTCAAAACTCTCTAATGCTACTACAACCACCATGAAGTCAAAACTATCTAATGTTATTACAACCACCATGCAGTCAAAACTCTCTAATGTTACTACAACCACCATGCAGTCAAAACTCTCTAATGTTATTACAACCACCATGCAGTCAAAACTCTAATGTTATTACAACCACCATGCAGTCAAAACTCTCTAATGTTATTACAGCCACCATGCAGTCAAAACTCTCTAATGTTATTACAACCACCATACAGTCAAAACTCTCTAATGTTATTACAACCACCATGCAGTCAAAACTCTCTAATGTTATTACAACTACCATGCAGTCAAAACTCTCTAATGTTATTACAGCCACCATGCAGTCAAAACTCTCTAATGTTATTATAACCACCATGCAGTCAAAACTCTCTAATGTTATTACAGCCACCATGCAGTCAAAACTCTCTAATGTTATTACAACCACCATGCAGTCAAAACTCTTTAATGTTATTACAACCACCATGCAGTCAAAACTCTAATGTTATTACAACCACCATGCAATCAAAACTCTCTAATGTTACTACAACCACCATGCAGTCAAAACTTTCTAATGTTACTACAACCACCATGTAGTCAAAACTCTCTAATGTTACTACAACCACCATACAGTCAAAACTATGTAATGTTACTACACTCACCATGCAGTCAAAACTCTCTAAAGTGTAATATATATCACAGAATTAAATGTAATTACATCCTAAAGGCAAAAACTGGTATTTCCAAGATAACCTCTTCTTCTCCATCAGCCAAATGATGACACTCCTCCAGTAATCACATGTATTCGTATATTTACTACTAGTGTTCAGACTCTGAGCACAAAGTACGTATTTGTTGAGTGTCAAGTCAGTATTACTGTATTATTTATTTTGGAAATGCGTATATATACTATTGTACAATAATACTGTATTGTGTACCGATCGTTGTATTTGCAGACTGGTACAGGTTATGCTACACGAATAAAGAGTATATACTCTTGTAATACAATAACAATTAATGGATTTGTTTATTTTGCTGATGTCTCACTGTACTCTCTCTACTAAGAAAGAAAAACTTTGTTCTCCCTCATCTTCATCACTATGTTTCATAAGATACTAATGGCTACCAATTAATTTTAATTGTAATTTTTAAACAAAGCTGTTCGTGCGTAAATGTGATTGTTTTTAATACAAATGTTTGTGTAAAACTTCTCACGTTATTCAGAATATTTATAAAAATACGTTAAAAAACAGAAAAATGAAGTTTAATTGGTCAATTTTACATCCTGGAGATATATATATGAAAAAAATGTTCTGTTAAACTTCCAACTTTTTCAAATGAACGTCCTATATAATCAGAATGAAATAGCTTTGGAGTTAGCCATAATATTTATCAAAGTTATTGATTTAGAAACAAGGGTAAAGTAGTATAGTTGAAACTTTGTTAATGATGTTAGAATAGTCCAAGAACATGTTTGGAATCACCATTTTACTGTACAAACGGTATGTTTAATGTGATGGGTTGCTACAAATTTTGAAAATATTTTTCAAAAAAAGTTAATCAATACAGATATATATGTGTGTGTGTGTGTGTGTTTGTTACTTCCAACTGGTTTTCTTCGTTATTATAATGCTTATAAATAAATACAACACGTACAAAATAACGAGCATAAAGAGCTTTCCATATTTAAATAATAAACCGTGGTATTTAAAACTACAGTTTGAATAAAAAATAAATATGGTATAACTAGATGAAAAATATTTAATTGTAGAACGGCTGATGCGTATCAATGTTTTATTACTCGTTTGAACATACTACACTTTGTAGAATTTCACTCGAAGTGTTATATTTCTTGCCTGAACACACTATACTCCATAGGATTTTACTGGAAGCGTTTTATCCTTTGTCTGAACACAGTACGCTATTTTGTTAGCAATACATACGTATGTGTTATTCTATTTATAGCTGTGGTTTGGACTCCTTTGGAAAAATATAGTGATATATTATAATGAATTTTTGTGTGGAAGAATGGATACTACTCATTTTACATATTACACTCCTTTGTGTGAACAAATGATTTTTATAAACATAAAAAGGTAAATTCATTTGCGCAGAAAATCCTTTTGATGAATCCAATGACTGAATTTACACATACATATACACACACACTTTAAGTCAGTGCAAAACGTTTTATCACTAAGCACGGTAGTGCTTAGTACGTAGGGATGGGCTGAGAAAAAAATGGCCGCCGCATTCAATCTATTACTCTATGATACTTAAAAATAACTGCTAAAGTTGAGTTATAGCCTTATATGAGCACCTAATTGCCACTATTGAGTGTTTTACAGCTGGTATAACAGTAATACTATTCTGATCTTCTACCACGCGTAATTTTTTGGGGAAATAATAAAAATGAAAACTACTACTTAGCAGTGAGTTCAATATATGAGCATAGATTATTTCATGTTTCATAAGTCTCCCCAGAGGCACAACGGTATGTCTGCGGACTTATACCGCTAGACACCCGGTTTCGATACCCCTGGTGGGCAGAGCACAGATAGCCTATTGTGTAGCGTTTCATAAATAACAATTTCGTTTCTGGTCGCTAGATGGCAACACGGATTATTTTAATATAACGACCATTTGTGACTTTTCATTGCACAAACGTGATATTGGCCCAAACAATTTCAGTAAAAATACAAAAAGAAAGAAAGAATATCTAAATTAATATTCAAGGTATCAAAAGACCAATTTTTATGGAATTAACAGATTTATGTACATGCTATTGATGTCTGAGTTTAAAAACATCAGTTTCTTAATTATCCAAACAATACATTATACAGCAGTCTACCCTTCTTCAAATTTTCAGTGGTGCCGAGCCTGGCAGCTGTGTATGTAAGTGTGGTATCATAATTCATGGCCTGGAATTTGTATGATGTCGTCCCTAGTAATCGACATATCCTCAAGTGTGGTGGAGTCAATTGTATGCACATGCAGTGAGTTGGGATTAAGTTGGAAGGGGCCTCGGTTCAGCACTCCGGGGTACTTGTACCGTCATGGAGGAACCATTTCAGCTTTACTAGCCCTTAACATAATCCAAAGTTAGAGAAACTGACAAAATTGATATGATATTAACAATATATATTACATTGAATTATAAACATAAAATAAAGGAAATTGTTTTAAAAAAGAGGGGAACAAGTAATACAAATTTGTTTTGCAAAAACTAAGTATGATGTAGGGATGGCAATGTCAAAAACTACAGAAACAAGGTAGAGATGAATACACAAAAATCATAAGTAGCCAGTAAGTACTGGGTCAATCTTACATGCTTATGGTTATTAGCCACTGTAAGACTGGCCCCCCAGTGGCACAGCGGAATGTCTGCGGACTTACAATGCTAGAATCCGGGTTTCGATACCCGGGTTGGACAGAGCACAGATAGCCCATTGTGTAGCTTTGTGCTTAATTACAAACAAACTGTAATACTGTACAGCACTATTCAGTTTAAATGTTTAATTTAAACTTGAATTCATGCAACTGACATTCATACAACATTTAGTTGTAGATAAAAGTCATTCTTGGCAAGATTTGACTAATTTTGTAGTGATTTTTGTATGATTTCATGTATTCACCCCACCTTGTTTCTGTAATTTTTGGCATTGCCATCCCTACAATGTACTTAATTTTTGCAAAACTTTTTATTACTTGTTTTGTTATTTATCGTTCACCTGATTTACTTTGGCTAGGTACATGTTAGAAAGTCAAAACATTAAAAGAGTCTATAACTCATTTCTTAAATAAGTCACTTTAAATACTCATAAACCTACTGAAAGAAAATCTCGTTGTAAAATTATCCTGACAGAACTTTAGAAAACACGTGATAAACATCCTATGTACTTCTATTTGTCACTAAAAGTTAATAAAACATGAGTAAAGAAATTATACCTAACCTTTATCAAAACTCATTGTATTGTACTAAGGCATATATAAAAACATCGAAGTACCTTAACTGCAGTACATTTAAAAAATATCAATTTGGTTATTGCAATACTTCTTTTAAACAAATATAAATATTTTAGTAACTTAAACTTGCGATTGCTTGAAACACACCATGAAATAAAAAAAATCAGAAAATGGAGAAGTTAATAATATTTATATACTTACAAATGTATTCAGTTGATTTCGGTAGGTTACAGGAGAGCAAGAAAGCGATTTAAATCTCGAACGAGAAGACTCATAAGGTATTGTACACAACAAGTTCCTTTAGATTGGTCACCTTCATAAAAGGAAGTTTCTTTGGTTGTTGTATTTCACACAAAGTTACTCGAGGGCTATCTGCACTAGCCGTTCCTAATTTGGAAGTTATAGGCTAAAGAGAAAGTAGCTAGTTCAGACAACCCACCGCCAAAACTCAGGCTACTCTTGACAGACTTTAATTATTGCTCTTATGTGCCCTAAAGTATGGATGTTTTACCGGATACGAAACATAAAACCTCAGCTCCATCAAAAGAGTTTTTCTTTTGAAGTCTATAAATATCTTTTCGACATATGTACAACTAAGATATTACATCAGTTGATAATAAAAACTATTTTCATCAAGTTTATCTAAGTTGGTTCTTGAAACTAGAGACGTTTCAACTAATTCTTTGCTTGTTTTTTTTTAGAATCTATCTGCGCATAGCTGTCATTGATTTTGACTTGATAGGATAGAGGGGAATACAGCTAGTAAGTAGTGCCCACTGCCAACTCTTGGGTTATTTTTATCCGAGAAAATAGTGGGATTTGACCATTATTAGCCGTGGCATAGCGGATCATAGAACGGCGCTGAGTTTTTTTTTTTTAAGTACAAACTTTTAGCTCATAGCTCCGTCATCTCTTGATCAATTTGAGATATAATTACAGTTTTGACTCAGGAGATCAAATCCTTTCGACTCGTGTATTTCATCTCGCCCAAGGTATCATAGATTATATTACTCTAACCCTGCCTAAAATAATTTCAAATGCCGCGACTATTGAGGATTCCCTCTTCTTTTTATACTACGTCTACTGTCCTTACGTGTGGAAAATGTTTCTGCGGCATCGATACAAGAACCATTAACACTCGGATTCACAGTCCAGACTTATTGATTATTTGGCCACGCTCAGTTCGTTTCAATAAAATAAACTCGAAAAGTTCTTTAGTATAACGTTGCTGTAAAAGGTGTAACATCTCTATACTACTGGTTTTCTCTATTTTAAGACGAACCATGATGTTATTAAAAAACCTCGACGTCGTTCCTACTGAAGTTGGGACGAGCTGGCTGTTGGTGTTGTTGACTAGCTGCCCCCCAACTAGCCTGTCAGTTCAAAAATAGGGACGGCTAACGCGAATATCCATAACAAACAAAGAAACCTACTAATGTTTTTATCATTGGGTCTATTGCATCTATGCTTTTCAACTAATATTATAATGATACCAGGACCTTAGCCAGGGTTTTGGTTCGGGGAGAATATGAATAGACGCCCCCCCCCCCCCCGCCAAAAAATATTTGTCACTTCCACCACTCCGTTTTATATATCTTTAACATTTTGGATATTCTCTCTTTCTGAAAAAAAGAACTCTCTCTT